TTCTGTGCACAAATGCGCTATACTCGAATCTCTTGGTATCCCCCTGAATATGCCCCATAATACTCCCCTATATTATCCTCTTGGAGGAGTTTGGACTATATCTCAAATGCGCTGGCTGGAATATCCGCTGGAAGTTACGGATTCTGCTGCAACTGACGGAGCTTGGAGTACATCTGTGGGTTTGCCAAAATGAGGGCTACCTTCAAAAGGGGATTTAGAAGCTATTTCAGTTTATCTTAAACTATCTAGGGTTTAGGAATTGGGGTGTAGGGGTTTCCAAGATTAGGTACCTTTTTGGGAATCCCTATAATTAGGATCATAATATCTTGGGGTCTATATTGAGGTCCCCCTATTTCGGGATACTTCCATCTGGCCCATGGCAGCCTGTCATAGTCTCGGAAATCCCAAAGTGGCATGGGGCGGCATTTGGCCTTCATTGCCATGGAGGATTGCGGGGCATTTCCAGCCCTTGTTCCCAACCAAGCAAAGCTTCCAAGTTGGATCTTTGCAGTCCTCATGCCAATGGGTTTACGCGGCAAGTTCGGTAGCTCTTCGTCAAGAAATGATAAGCAAATGCCCCGCAAAGAACAGGAAGGGAAACCCGCCTGTAGAACATGGTCAAGCTGTCATCAACGATCCATATCCTTGCCATAAACAGCTCACAGTCACATCTCTCTGACACGCGGCACAAGATGAGAAGGTCACCTCCCCAAGCGATACAGCTTCGTGGCATTTGTGGCGTGCGCGCAGGCTGAGCCTGACAAAGCACTCGCCGCTCAGACTCCCGAGCTACATGAAGCAAACATTTGCGCCTTCAGCTACGAGAGCCCGGGTGCACACTTTCTGAACAACCTGACTTGTGCTCATTTGCCAAAGCTTGTGCAATGCAATCACATGAGCCAGCCGTTCCTGCTTGTGGCTGGACTTCATGATGCTCTCCTATGGTCCCTCTCCTATTGAAGTCAAGCGGACGATTCGTCTAGCTCTCCACCACTTCGGAGATCGTACTACCTTTTCGAAGAGAGTAGTCTGCTCCTGCATTTAGGGGCCAAACCCAGCGTGCATAGCCTGGTCCGCGATTGCCTCAGTCAGCTTGAGCATCAGCCAGAACATCCTCCGATGATCATCTATCGAAGGCTTTCCGTGCAGGACCCGTATCAGCCTGTATATGTAAACACAACGTACCATCTCCCGCAAAACCGTGGTACCTCTGCATGTATAACCAGACCACACCAAATGTGGTAGTTTCCAAAGACGAAGGTCTCCCTACCTAGACCCTCCTCCTACCCTCTATTAGGGCCTAAGTACCCACTATTAGGGACCATATATCCCCAATTAAGGGTGTAAGGAAGGTCCTGGTATATATCCTGAAATAATGATGACATCAATGATTCCTACTGCAAGCACAGAAAGGGACCCCATTTTGTACTGGCGGCTGCTAGGGAATAAGGGAAGACAATCCCTATGTAGTCCCTCTATATATATATATATTATCTATCCATATGTATACATATATATGTATATATATATATATATTCCCCTATTCCCTACTAACCCAAAACCCTAAACCCAATAGTAATTGCCGTAAACCCAAAACCCTCAACCGCATTAACTCCCAGTAAGTTATCGTAAGCTGCCCGGTCTGAAGCGCAGACTCTCCGGAAGGATGAGCATCAAGGACAGTGGCCAAGCCGACCTATAGAGCTCCTCATTCAAGGTTTTCAAAGTTTTGACATATGTGGGTTTCCAAAATTAGGGGCACTTTTTGGGGGTCCCAATAAAAAGGATTATCGCATTTTAGGGTCTATATTGGGTTCCCCCTATTTAGGGAAACTATCATATGTATATACGTAGTCCATCATAATTTAAATTTACGTTTTGGGTGCGCCTTGCTATTTTCTTTTGGGGCCCTGGATTTAGGGAAACTCAAGCCAGGGACAATTGGCGATCCTAGTCACATAGTTGGATTCAAATTCGCCGAAGAATTCGCCTGCTTCAGCAAGTGGGGAACTGGGGTATCTGGGGTTTAGGGTTTGGTTATATAGGGTCTATATGAACAGGCAAAGTGGCCTCGCCCAGAGATCTTCTCTCAGAGAGGGGAACGGTTCGGAGGGATATCAACGAGGTCAAGTATTTCTCGAGGCTTGCACAAGCACTAAGAACTGTTTGAAAGACTCTCTCATGGGTTCATTGCTTCAATTTTTGTCCTGGTAACATTTTGGGGTTTCATCTCTTACTTTTTTTAAGGCTTCACCGAACCTCATTGGGGACTGAGACCCTGCAAGCGCCGAAACCCCAAAAGACCGATATAGATTGATTCTACCGGCTCATGCTTTCAGTATGGAGGTCTGCAATCAATGCTGCGATGTCACTCGTCGTTGCAGCTTGATGTTTGTTGGATCGCTCAATGTGAGCATTTTCCGAGAATGGAGATGCTCCATATGCATCCAAAACTTTGATCCTTCATTATTCAGGGGCTGGCAAGAGAAGGGGCCCTCATGTCATTCCGCGTCTTCATACCATTCTCATTCAGCTCACTAGTTTATTTGCATTGCTGACGTTAGTTGAGAGTCTCTCAAGTTCTTCCCTTTATAGAATCTTCATAGGGACCCGATCATCCCCTTCTAATCCACAAATCTTCCAGGGTCCACAAGGAGCCTCAATCCTAACCACAAACCCTGAAAACTTAATCCTAAACCCTGACCTCTAAACCCTAAATCCCACCGCCTTAACGCTAAATCCTGAACCCTAAATCTGAAATCCGGAACCGCTTGATTCAAGGATGGTGCCTCTTCCAAGGGCTCGACTACGATGCACACCACAGGGCGCAAGCCAAGCTGCTTGTCCTCCTGCACCAGATTTAACTTCTGGGGTTTGGTAGGGAATAAGGGAGTGCATATAACGTTCAGGATTTAGGCTTAGTAGGGAGCAAGGGAATACAGTGTACAGGGATTTCATAGGGAGTATATTCTCTCATTTGCTACTAACAACCGGTAAGTTTAGTCTCCTTGAATACCCGGATTTGAGCACTCAAGCAGTGTCATGACATGGCGGCCATTCTTCACTACCTACAGGTCGTGAAGCTGTCTGGAAATTGTACTTTCCATGAATAGAAGGACCCTAAAATGGTACCCGTATTTTTGGGAAACCCTAAACCCTACATGTCTGTAAATAACCCTATATATCCCCTGTAACCAAAATAATGGTACCCTTAATTTAGAAAACCCTAAGCCCTGTATGTCCCTATACAACCCTATATATCCCCCATAAAAATCTATATGCATCCCCTATATCCCCCCTTTAAATATATCATTTTAACACCTTATATATCCCCCATATCCCCCTGTAAATATATCCCTATATAACCCTATATCTCCCTTAAAGGTTGTTTATGTAAAACCCCTCGCGGCCTGCGGACCAAAAACGTGCGGCGCCTCCCAATTGAGATGCGCCTTGAATCACAGGGGGGTTCCTAACTTGGGGGTTTAGGGTTTAGGGTTTAGGGTTTCGTAGATTAAGGGTACCATTTTGTGGTTATAGGGGATATATAGGAATATCTAGGGTTCAGGGATTGCTAAATTATGTTAAATTAGGGGTACCATTTTGGTGGTTGTAGGGGATATATAAGGGTTATACAGGGATGTATAGGGTTTAGGGTTTCCTAGATTAGGGGTACTATCTTGGGGGTCCTCATAATATTCCAGGAACTCTTTGGACCCCTACTACCTGGTACCCCACTACTATTTAGGCCATATTCCTTCTTTATTTGGGTCTAGATGGGTAGTGGGGTACCAGGTAGTGGGGGTCCTGAGAGTCCCTAGGATAATAAGGATTATAGTATACAATGCTGCGACTGCCCATGGTTCTTCTGCACCTACATAACTCTATCTTACCCTATATAACCCTATGCCCAATATAACCCCAACACATACCCTATTATGCAATAGTAGTTTCCATTTTCTTTTCCAATATCCCAATATAACCCCCAATATATATACCCTATTATATATGTATTATCCCAGCCAGAATTACAGCACTGACACTTTGAAGCTACGGAAGCTGCCTTCTCCGGTCGACCGCATGACGGAATGAAAACAGGATATGGCACATGGGCGCCCTGCCGTATAAGACTTGTGGGTTGTTCTCAAAATTATGGGCCCCTTTGGTTATATAGGCTATATTACGGCACCTAATATTCAGTACCAAATGGGACCCTAATTTTGAGAACCCCCCTTGTGGCTTTGGGAATGGCATGCGGATTGACACAGCGCAGGCATTGCCAGGACACGGCTTTGCGAGCCTGCTTGTCGGGCTTCTGACACTTCTGCTGCAGAAACTTCTCGTGTCGCGAGCAAACGGCCTGCTCAGCTCAACCCCCCATCCGCGAGACTTTCCAGACAGCCACCGCAACTGGCCTCCCAGTTTTTTACTTGGCAGTCTGGGCCTCCAGTCTCCAGCGTCATCTTAACATATTTCCGTGCTGCCTTCTGGACCCTTGCTTTACAATCAAGGCGCCGACCGGAAAGCTTGGCCTGGAAAAGCACCTTCATGGTCTAGTGCAGCTGTGTAGCTGCAAAGCGCCACTCAAAAGAAAATCCAGCTGCATCCAGCTCTCCCCTTACACCCCGTGGCGGCTTGGATGGCCATGATGGCCCCTTTTCAGGCAACGGTGGGACGCTGCCGTCACAGGCCCTGGTCGTTTCAACTAGGACCTGTATGTACTTCTTGGTTCACTGGCGTCTAACTACAACTAGGCTGCAGCTCGAGCATGTGCAAGCCGCTGCCTGACTCTTTGTGTCGCCGGCAGCATTTGCCACGGCGATTTCATGCGACTGCAACTTTGTGCCGTTCTGTCCCAGATTAGGAGAGCAGCGTTTGCTATTGCAAGTCTCCAGCTGTGTTTTGCATATCCACATTATTGAAGACCAGAACTGCCTAGCCCTTGCCCCTACTCCTGTGTATCAAGGTGCTCACATAAATCAATGCTATCTGTTGTGCCGTTATGCCCTGGCGTCAAATCGCATTCTTGTGTCCATGTCCTTGGCCCACAACTCTAAAAGGTGGCTTGTTCCACTGTGCGCATCCCCTCATCAAACAACCAATCACTGTGAATGCGCAGATGTGACATGTACCAACGGCCAAACTCAGCCACAGGCGTCCATGTTGCAAATGACTATCCTGATGCCTTCAACCAGGCTGACCTCACTACATACAAACATATCGCTACGTTGCAGTCTTGTTGGGTTGGAAGGGCCACCCATTTAAATTGGTTCCGTCCTTGACTTAAGATTCGCAAGCCACATCAAAATCCAGACCGTCGATAAGAGCCGGAGCTGCCAAAGTCTTCGCCGCTTCTCTGAATACATCGTGGATCGATGACATTCAGGCAGTTTCAACTCTCCTACTCAGCTGCTGACTATTGCCAGCACAATCGCGCAGATTGGTTCGGCCTGGCCGAAGATGGAAGAAGCAGCAACGCACATGGCGAACTGCCATCGAGTGTTCTGGCCCGACTAACGGATCAGGTCCTTCCACATCCCTTCCTTCTCGTAACTTGCTGCCAGTCCCATCACCTTCCAGCAGCTTAAGGTTCATCTGCATGACAACAAGCCACATGAGCAAAAGCGTGTAGCAAGGGCATCGGCCAAAAGGAAAATCAGACTGATGATTGAGTTCACGAGCGCACTCCAAACCTGAAATTGACCAACGTTCTGGCATTTGAAGACTGGCTGTGATGGGTGACTAGGCTCAACAAACCATGTCAATCTATCAAAACGCAAAGGCAAACATTTGCAGCATAAGCAGCCCATGAATTATGTAAAACAACTTCTCAGTTCAGACATATAGTCCCCCTTAAGTAGATAGAATATGGCGTATATGGGGATCTTATTATAGTACAACCTAAGCCATATTCTATCTACTTCATGGGGACTATAGCCGCTTGGCGTTCTGTGTTTGCGTCGCACAGAAAGCAATGCTCCTCTACTCCGGCATGAGCCGAGGCCGAGAGAATTCTCTTGTTGATAATGGAAAAGAACATGGAAACTGTAGGGATTGTAGGGTTTATATAGGGTTTATTCGGGGTTATGTAGCCGTTATATTCGGGTTATATTGGAGTTATATTGCAGTTATATTGCATAACGGACAAGAAAATGAAAACTACCATAGACAGGCTTCAGTGTCAAGAGGTCCTCTCCACTCTATCTCTTTTCGTCGAGCGCTGTATACTCTAGCCAAGCTGTCCATGTCTGAGACATTGTACTGACTGAGCACGTGCAAAACATTGGACAGCAAAAGGTTCTCCTACATTATCCCAATATAACCCTGCATACTATAGTAGTTTCCATTTCCTTTTCAATTATCCCAATATAACGCTAATATAAACCCCATGTTAACCTATATTCCCGATAGTTTCCATGTTCGTGTCCATTCGCCCACGCACCCTCCGGCCAACAATTCACGTGATTGGGAAACACACATATGCTTCCTGACAACCTGCTCAGATTCGGGCAATACCCCTGCGCAACATCCGCCCAAGGAAAAAGCGAGCAAGCGCCTCTCACGAAACGTGAAGCAATTCTCACGTGCAGTTGTGAGTGGCAATCTGCCTGCAGCAGGTAGAAGGCGAAACCGTACCAGGCAAGGAACTCTGTAGCCCACTGAGCCTGCTGAGGATGCTGGAACAAGGGAAGGGAAGAACATGACATCACACTAATGCTCAGCCTCTGAATCCATGTCTTGGTGGTCTCTGTACCACCTGCATGCTTTCATCATGATCCTTGACGCCCTGTGGTGGGTTTGACGGAGCGCTGGGCCACTCACTGATCCCAGAATCTGATCTTTCTCGCTGCCTGCATCCCAAGACATCAAGAAACCTCCGCTGCCCTTTTGCTGGATGCGTACGCTATGCCGGCACACAGTCCTTGAAAACCAGCGCTGCTGCGGCAACCAGCATGGAAAGTCCCATGACCTCAGCATCAGCTGCTACGCCCGGCCTTTGGCATTTGGAAAAGTTCTTTGAGCACAGGGACCACGTTCAGACCCTGCTCGCGATACAAGAACTTTCGTCGCTTTTCCCTGCAGGCAACTGCAGTTGTGCAAACTACAATATTCAGGAACTGAACCTAAGATATGGTAGTTTCCCAAAATAGGGGACCCCATTGTGACCCTAAAACCTATAAACCTCATTATCTGACAGGGAGCCCCAAAAAGATCAAAAAGCTACCCCTAAAGCATCTGCTCACGATCCCGCGGCCTCAGCAGCGACTCTTCCGCATCTTGCGGCCTCTGTTTAGGGTCTAGGGTCAAGACAAGGGAATGATACCTGTAACCCCAGTAACCCCAATAAATTGGTGCTTAGGGTTTAGTGTTCAGGGTTTTAGGGTTTGGGGTTTAGGGTGTGGGGCTTAGGGTTGAGGCTTCAGGGACCTACCTACAGCTCAATACCTGTGACTTGGGTACTGCCCCTACCCTGTAACAGTCTATATTTGGGGTCATACTAAGCGCTACATATAACTACAATCTATGTATATATGCATATATGTATATATGTATACATGTAATTCAAATGTTACGGAATGGGGGCAGCACCCAACCCGTATCCCCAGTTACTTGCCTACAGTTCTAGGGGTTATACCCACAAGTAGGTGATAATTACTATGCTCCTAGTGTACTTACAACCACAAAGAACAATATCATCACACTTATCATCAGCCCCAATTAAATTACCTACGGTTTGGGGGATATGCCTACATACTAACTAGGGTGTAATTAATTCTCTTAACAGCCATAAACATGACAAAGCAACAATAGTATAATCATTAAACTGCTCGCAGTGTTGTTCTTATATCAATATTACCATTCTCATCGTTGTTGTTATTGTTACGTTAACCCCGTCCCCTAATATCAAACCACCCACCCACCCACCCAAATATCAAATATTCCCCATTGTTGTATATTATAGT